CATTTTTTCCTTCTTTTATTTCAAATACAAATATAGTTAGCATAAATTTTAGAGCAAATTTGGATGCTCAGAATGCAGGAAATGGCATTTCCGTGTTTCAAATTTCAAAAATTTTCTGGGGAGTACACGCCCACACACGTGACCATTGGGATCCTCTTCTAATAAGTAATGATAAATTATAGTTAATATTTTTTTTTACTTTTTGTGGGTTTTTTCCTTCTTTTATTTCAAATACAAGTATACATTTTGGAGCGCATTTGGATGCTCAGAATTCAGGAAATAGCATTTCTGTGCTTCAAATTTCAAAAATTTTCTGGGTGAGTACACCCCCCCCCCCCCTCATTCATGCCTGCATGGTATGTTCGGCGCACACGTGGCCTTCAGCCATTGCCATCTCCCTGTAATATATTATTTCACAGAAAGGTCCCTTTTCAAAAAATGCCCCCCCCCCCCACGGGAAAATCCTTAAAAAAGGCCCTGAATCATGCTCAGTATACGCGACTGTAAATTTGCCGAATTTTGTGGCGACGGTTTTGAACTTTTATAAGAAGTATTATTCCTCCATTGCTGTTTTAAAAATGTTCGTCACATATTCTAAACAGGTGAAAAAGCTGTCATTGAAATATGAATATTTTAGCCCAACGAACAATTGAATGTTGAATAAGACATATGCTTGCACATGATATAAGACTTGAATTATTTGACAGTTTGGTAGCTAACACTTGGTCGCCAACGACACAATATCGTCAGACGGTCAGAGCTATATTAAATTATTGAAAGATGAGTAGAAACATATGCAACGTCCTATATTAAAGGAACAAGGTGGTTGGGCATATAAATGCTCACAAAATCTCTTATGAATTGCCGATAAACCCGCATGATTATTCGTGAGCGCGGAAATAATAACCAATAAAAAAACCCCCAAAAGACGTTGCGAATAGCTCGAGCTCTCTTCATCCAGCTCATTTCATCCCATATGTGATATGGACGTAAAGATTGAGTCACGATCTTCTCATCAGCCGAAATACAACATTTTAGAACTGAAAATACGCGGAGTGATTAGAGTCATTAGAATTATTATATGTGGTTTACAAGTATAAACTATTATAAACTGGTCGTTGACATTTAAGAAAACAAATTAAGCGCCATGCATATTTTAATGTTTCGCTTGATTGACATATATATGTTCAAATTTTGCACATTGTATAATAAAACAGAAAATTCTAGAATGGCAATGCTAATATAATGATTCTGTATTGGCAAAAAACTTAAATTTGAGTGAAGAAAAAGAAATTTTTCCTTTCTTAAAAGAAAATGGCTTGGGTATTTTTCTTCTGGACATAAATATCGACTAAAAACGTATAAATTGAGTTACCGTTCTTCCAACGACACGAAGCACTTAATTAGAGTTAAGTAATTTTCATCCCCGTCCCGACAAAAGCCCCAGACAGACGGGGAATTTTTTCTTGGCAACTTTTATTTGCTCGTGTGTAAGGAGTCTCGTTCCAAAGCTAGTCACGCCAGCTTTTGGACAAGGAAAATTTGTTCGTTTGTACGGCCGCCATGCAAGGAAAACTTGGCAACTGTACAATAAATACTTCTATGATTAAGGTTTTTGGGCTGGCAAACAAAATTAAGCGGCCTTGACGCGAGATAAATGTTTAACAAGATTCCGTGCACACGCGAGCAACAAACTTGTCAAGGCCCAAGGCCAAGGGTAACTTGTTGCCCGCACACATGCACAAGCAACAAAATTAGTGAAGGAAACTTGTGCTCGTCTAGTCGTCTGTGGGGCTGTAAGTGTCATACGAAAATTAATTTGGAAGACGAAACATTTTAATGTATGTACATCATATGCCAGAATTTTAAAAATATGTAAAACCCAATAGGCAATTCCAGCTTTTAGTTTATGCGTGCAGGGGACGATGGGAAGTAAGGTATCATTTTGCTGATTATGCTGAAAAAATAAAAAAAATGATGGCCGTGTAAACACGGAGTGATAGCTTGTAAATATTGAAATATTTCAGTTGTTTCGGTAGTTTTTATTTAAATTTTTCAGCATAATCAGCAATATGATACCTTACTTCCCATCATCCCCTGCATGCACAAACTAAAAGCTGGAATTGCCTATTCCCCAGTGCGAAACGAAATACGAAATTTAAGAATATCAAACTATCAGTCGACCCGAAATTTCAATATCAGTAACGAACCTCGTCATTAGCTATAGCGTTTCACGTGCATGTATGAAGCGTATATATGATCGGCAGAATTAACAGCTGGTAACATAAAAAAACTCAAACTTGAAAACGTTTTTCTGAAACTTTGTGTTTTGCCGAAATAATACACAGACAGTTGCTGAACGACGCTTGCAGTTGCAACATGGCTCGTGGCTTTAGTTTTCGACTCTTGTATCGAGTCGTTTTCTTTTGCTTCTGTCTGATTTTCGCCTGTTTTTATCATGGTGGTGGTTCTGCAGGGTATGGCAGGCGAGATGACAAAACAGAACCGAACAAATCAAAAGATGAATTCAAAGGTAAACCCTTGAATGCCAGTTGACGTTCCTCTCGAACAAGTCGAACGTGTTTCTAACTTGACAGAAAATGATACACAATTAATGGACCTATTAAACAAAATTTTGATCTAGACAAGTCTAGACAGAAATTTCATCCCAGTTTGAAAGGGCATCACAAAATTAGTAATATTCCGAAGTTTCGTTGCGAAATGTTGTAAAATGCGGATAATATAGCCCTGCGAAGTTTGCCGTTTTTCAGTCATTTTGTACGCGCGGGAAATTGATACCGCTTTCTGAAAAAAGGTATCAATTTCCCGTGCGTAATACAAAATGACTGAAAAACGGCAAACTTCCCAGGGCTATATTATCCACATTTTACAACATTTCGCAACGAAACTTCGGAATATTACTAATTTTGTGATGCTCTTTCAAGCTGTGATGTCTAGACTTGTCTAGATCAAAATTTTGTTCATTAGGGAATAGGTCCCCGCATCCGGATGGCCGCAAGGCGCGGAAGAAAACTGATCTTTCAAAGATAGTTAGAAAAAGTAAATTTTGAAAATGTGAGAATGCCAGCACTTCAGACGTAATTGTTAACCAAAATTCATTTTTAGGAACTGCGATGAAAACACTCCAAAGTGCTAGAATACAAAAGAGCCCAGTACTGCCTTTTTCAACCTCATCGCTGTCTGAGGTAAACGTTCCACGCAAATAATCGACAACCATTTCCCACTTAAGTGAGACAAAATGGCAAAACAATGCCAGTAAAACCTTATATTCATTGGAAAATCAAATTTTTCACCAGAATGATTTGAGAGGAACAGCCAAAAGAGAAAAGTTCGCTTCACTCACAACTCAACATCTCCGTAGCAGACGCGAAATTGATGCGATCTTAGAAAGTAAGGTAGGTCCGACCGAATGCGCCAATTTTACGTTTACTATAAAGTATGAAAATAACTACACAGTACGGAACAACTTTTCAATGATGTATCAAAGCCGAATGTACCGTTATAACGAATACAGAGTAACGGACGATGGTCTACAAGTTTGTAATTCTTCTGACCCCCGTATTAAACAAAGATGGCGGGGTTTGATTGCTCGGGAAAAGGAAGTGTTGGCTTCCAAACATTGTAATGCATCCGTGGACGGATTTTTCTACTCCAGTTACACACTGTACAAAAATTTTACTGTTTTATTCGAAATTACTAATCAGTGTTTCACAAGGCAAAATTACGGAGTGATTTTGGGATATTTTGCAATTTGTTCGGCAAAGCATAATCTGTCCTGCAATGACTATTTGGTTAAAGTGAAATACGGCGATCAGTATAACATTTTTAAAAACTTATCGCTGTTTTACAACAAGATGTACGATTATCATGAATATCGACTCGGAAACGAAGGTCTTGAAATGTGTTCTTCCAATGATTTAAGAATTTGGTTAATTTGGATCAGCCGGAATTTGTGGGAACAGATCAAATACATATTTATTAAATGCCTCGAATCTATTTATACATTATCACCAGGGTACTACGCTGTGAATAAGCAGTTCACTATCTATTTGGGGAATCCTCAATATTTGACAAGAAATGAATATAGAGTGTTAAGCGGTGAACCTTATACATGCGGAGAAAACTACAGATCCACGATGTCAGAGTATACCAAGGAAGATCTATTAATGTGCAACGATTCAATTATCAATATAACATACGATGATGAATACAAAGTTCGGACTGACTTTTCAATACTCTATAAGAACAAGGTGTACGATTATACTGAGTATCGAGTTCTGAATGATAGCATAAAGATTTGTAACTCCACTGATAACTACGTGAGGAGTATTTGGAAAGTACGCAATAAATGGGTAAAGGCGACAATGCATAAAAAAATTTGCAATGACCCCACGGGAGAGTCTTGGTTGCACCGAGAGTATTACACTGTGAATAAGCAATTCACTGCCTATTCGGGAAGTAATGGTCAATATTTCACAAGAAATGACTATTGGGTTTACTACGACGGCAAACTTGTGATATGCAAAGAAAACTACAGACCCAAATCAATAGAGTATACCAAGGAAGATCTATTAATGTGCAACGATTCAATCATCAATATAACATACGATGATAAATATAAAGTTCGGACTGACTTTTCAATACTCTATAAGAACAAGGTGTACGATTATACGGAGTATCGAGTTCTGAATGATGGCATCAAGATTTGTAACTCCACTGATAACTACCTGCGGAATATTTGGAAAGTGCGTAATAAATGGGTAAAGGCGGTAATGCAATATAGAAGTTGCAATGAACTCGCTGCATATTTTGTCTTTACCCGACAGGAATACACCTTGCTTAAGGATTTTAGAGTTCGCCTTTTGGCAACAAAGCAGCTGATAACAAAGTACGATTATGGCGTGCTTCGAGGTAAACTTATAACATGTTTGACGGAATGCGCCAATTTTATTTTTACTATAAAGTATGAAGATAAATACAGAGTATGGAACAACTTCTCAATAATGTACCGAGGTCGAATGCACAATTATGATGACTACAGAATAACAGATGATGGTCTACAAGTTTGTAATTCTTCTGACCGTCTCATTAAAGAAAAATGGCGGAATTTCGTTGTTTCGGAAAAGATAACGACAGCTTTCAAACATTGTATTAATGCGTCGGTGGACGGTTTTTACCCCGAAAATTACACATTACATACAAACTTTACTGTTCTCTTCAAACCTACCAATCAAATTTTCACAAGGCAGAATTACGGAGTGATTATGGGGTATTTTGCAATTTGTTCAAGAAAGCTCAGATTGTCCTGCAATAATGATTTGGTCAAAGTAAAGTACGGTGAACAATACAATGTTTTTAAAAACTTTTCGCTGGTTTTATACCACAACAAGATGTACGATTATCGCGAATATCGATTAAGCCACGACAGTCTTGAAATGTGTGCTTCCAATGATTCAAGAGTTCAGGCGATTTGGAGAACGCGAAATTCGTGGCAAAAGTCATTACCCGCATCCTGTTATCATTCTTATAAATTAAACGAAAGGTACTACACTGTGACAAAGCAGTTTGCTGTGTATTCGGCAGAAAACGGTCAATATTTCAAAATAAATGATTATGCGGTGATAGACGGTAAACCTCATGTATGCGGCAAAGAAAACTTAAGACCAATTTACTTAATTACAAACTTTAAGATTATTATAGCACCATTATGCGCTTTAGCGCTTTCTATTATTTCTTTGCTATTGTTGTTGATAGTTTACTGCATGCTTGCAGAACTGCGCACACTTCCTGGTTTGAATTTAATGAGTATAAGCTTCGCCTTGCTGTTGTGGCAGACTTACCTTGTAGTATTTTTGTCACTGTATTCTCATGTAGGTAAACTATTTGAGATACCGTGTGCTAGGCTGTTTGTAGCAAATAAGTTTATGACGTATAATGTGATTATGAATGCTACTGTTAATATCTATCACTTAAGGAAAACATTTTGCGGCAATACTCTGGTGAAATCTGATGAACTGAAGAAGTGGAACAGATTTTTGAAGTATAGTTTCTTTAGCTGGGGAGTTCCTGCAATTATAACGATTGTTTACATTGTATTAGTAAAGAAAGATGTTCTAAGGTTTGATAAACCTATAGCGTATGTGAAGAACGACGTTCAATCGAGCTTACCGAGCTTTTATAGACGCATTGTATTTACGAGTGGAAATGGAACGGCAAATAATATAGAGATTTATCACCGTATTGCCCAGTCAAGGTTCAATCAAAGCACTGTACTTGGGAAGGAAGATGCGACGTTAAAGTTTTATGAACGCATTGTATTCGCGCATGGAGATGTGAGAGAAGATGATGGAAGGATTTATCAGCAGATCTCTGGAGATTGTATCAATGGTCGAATTACTCCCGATTGGTCAGCTGCTGTTGATGTATATGGCCTTCAAGGTTGTCTTTTGTTGTACATTATTGGAATGTTCATCTTCACTGCTTATCGAATTCGCCAAAAACTCAAGGCAAGCAGGGACACTGAACAGAAATCGAATATTGTTAAGCGTCGTAAATTTGTCATATTGCTCAAGCTGTCAACCACTACAGCCTTAAGTTATTGGTTTCCTCTCCTCATATCTAGAATCGTGGATTTTGATTTCGACATAAAGATAGCGCTGTATACTGTAACGTTACTTACAGGGGCCTATATTGGTATTGCGTTTGTTTTCACACGAAGAAATTATCCGTTGCTCAAGAAAAAATTTTTCCCAGCAAACAATAAGCCGCCAGTTACAGAAATTTCGCTGAACAGACTATAGTGTAAGCAAGTCGGCTGTATAAGTGTAAGTATGTAATTATGTAAGCAAGCAAGGAAACAAACAAACAAACAAACAAACAAACAAACAGACAAACAAACAAACAGACAAACAAACAGACAAACAAACAGACAAACAAACAAACAAACAGACAAACAAACAAACAGACGAAGAAACAAACAGACGAACAAACAAACAGACGAACAAACAAACAAACAAACAAACAAACAAACAAACAAACAAACAAACAAAAGCAAGCAAGCCCGTAGTGATATATAAAGGAAATATATGTGTATATAAAGTAAGTAATTAAACTGTAATCAATGAACATTGGTTAATTTGAAGTAAAAACGCTTAGAATATACTACTATATATTAATTTAAAAAGTATGCATACATTGTATTTAAGATATTTGTGTGTTGTGGTAAAGTAAATAAAAAATGCAAAATTTCTGTCTTTCTCACTTTGTTTCCTGGCTGTGGAGTATAGGCAGTGTGAAAAACAAGGAACGCAACGCAAATACGCAATCAGTCTCCACCATTGAAAAATTCTCAGCAAATTTCACAATACAGGAGGTTGATGAAACGTGCCTTACAAGCGATATGGTAATAACAAGTTTGTTTCATTTGAAAGACCTTTTACAGCTTATTCAAATGTTGCTTAGTTCTCGAAATATTTTCACCACAATCATCATAAATCAGTGAAACAGAGGGCTAAGCAAGAGATTATTTCGCAGTCAGAGTGACAAAACGTAACAAAGCAACGGTTTTACTAACACTAACACTAACCCTACTCCAAACACCAACTCTAACCCTGATCCTAATCCTTACCCTAACCTAACCTTACTCCAAATTTGTTTCTAAACCAATCTTGAAGAAAAATGTTTTGGCGAAATGTCATTCTGAGGTCAGCGAAATAGTTGATGCCGAGGGCTAAACCCTGTTAAATCAGTGAGCTTTCTGCCATCTTGGATTAATGTGGATATGCATGTGTGAAGTCACAAGCAGGGTCACGCAAATATTTTACCCAGATATGCAATGGTCATTTATACAAGCTCAAAATTATACTTCGGTCACTATTTCAAATAACAATTTGACTGACAACGTTTTAAGCATCTACTTTATTTTATTTGGTTGTATACGAGTAATTTTATATGGCTAAGCCCACTTTTATAACGTCGCCAAAACCAGCGTTAAAATGAAATAAAAAATTAATCCAAAATGGTGGACGGCTCGTTGTTTCCAGGTGAAATATAGCCATGTTATCTACAAGACCATCACATACACGTGGTGTTTCCACAAACAAAAGTATCATATGTTTTATCGCCGTTTGTTTAAAAGTCGATTAGCTTAATCCTAGGTTAACCTAAAATTCAAAGCGAATTACCCAACATCTGGACCAATGAGAGTTTTCATCTCTGAAGTTTTGAAACAAATAGATGTGCAGAAATACATAAACTAAAACAGCAGGTTAAATTTAACGCAGGCGGTTAGCGCTAATCCACAGTGCTGTAGAAGTGGGGGGTCCCCCTTCTTCAAGCTCTGGGGGGGCTGAGCCCCCCTTCTACTTTAGAAAATCGAGAATTTATTAAGAACACTATTAAACTTCTTTTTTCATGAAGGAGAATCAAAATTACTAAAATGGCGTCTTTAATAAATCGATACTTTATCTTGTTTCAATGTTTCATATAATTATGCATTTATGCTCTGCATTTTCGAATATCTATGACGTCATCAGGGACCGCGGAGCAGGGGGACCTGGAGGGCTTTAGCTCTCCCCTCCCCCAGGATCTCTTCTGCAATCTCAACAAAAATATTTCATTTTGATTTTAAAAAATTTCAGCAGGATTAATCAGTTTGGACTATCATAGACTTTTTAAAATACGTTACAGTAAGTTATTCCTTGCATATAATTATGTAGATTAGTTCAGTTTTCATTAGTACACTGGACAGGTGTTTGTTTCATTTATTATTTTCTTGTTATGTATTAGTGGGCTCGCACTTTCCAGAAAAGCATTTCTAAGAAAAGTAGGGACGATAAGTATGGAAAATTAAATACGGCATTAAATTTCGAAGAAAAAATCTATAAGGAAAATGTACTAAGCGAATAAATTTTACCCCTATATAATGGCTTGCTTAAGAGTCGTTGAAGAAACATTTTTAAGCGAAACTAGCAGGTTTTATTTCATTTCCGGGGCTTTGAGAGGTCTCAGATTTCAAAATTTTCCGGACCCCCCCCCCCGAAGGTCGCCTATACCTTTTATGTTCCGCACTCGCTGATCAAAATGCCTACGCGGCTACGCGGTCCCTGGTCCGTATGACGTCACACATCTTTTACGATTTCACTGCTTCACGCTCGTCAAGAGAGCCCCCCCTCTGGTAAATTTAGTTCTACAGCACTGCTAATCCAGCTTTGAACAACCGGCCCCTGGATGCTAGTTTTGTCTTAAGATTAAAAATATTTTGCCGTGATGTGAGCGGTATATTTAATATGTAAATTAATGAAATGAATGATGGTCGACAATTATATAGTTGTAAAACTAAAATATATTTTACGTGCAGAAATTGATGGGAAACTAAAAGTTACTTTGACTTCTGTGTGTGTTAGTGACTTAGTGTTATGAATATGATGTTTGTGATGTTACTCTGAGTGTGCATCCACACCGGGCAGACTGAAAAGTTTGCCTGACCACGGTGGCAAAATCTCTCGTGTAATATTGAAAAGACATGACTCGCCTTCGCTTGGAAGCGGTTGTTCAAAGCTGGATTAGCGTTAACCCTATATTAAATTTAACCTTTTGTTTTAGTTTTTGTATTTCTGCATATCTATTTATTTCAATAACAAGACTTTCTGCGGTAAACTAGCTCTTATAAACTGTCCTGCCCCTATATAGGATGAGAGTTGAAAAGCGAGAGTTTGTACGAGAGTTTTCTCAACTCTTATTTCCGGCCGAACGAGAACAAGAGTTGCATGAGAGTCGACTGGATATATACCCGATTCAAACGAGCAAAAACTCTCATGAATTTTCATCAAAATTTCAACCAGCTCAAAGTTGACGAACGTCGATGAGAATTGGCGGTCATTCGGTCAAACGCAAGCGAGAGTTGCAACTCTCATCAATTCTCTCGTCCTATATAGTTTGACCGGGTTTTAGGTTAAAGTATACATAGATTTCTACGAGTTATTAATAAAGGATACTGGAACAGCAAGAATACAACTGTTTTTGAATGTTCTTCACTGTCAACAGCACATCAAGAGCCGTAACAAGGTTTCACGCCAGTCACGGCTCGTTTGTAAGGTTTGTTATATAGCAATCCACTTTCAAGCAGTCGAGTTACTGAACCACTTTTGTTACTGAAGACCTCATTTATACCATATGTATTTCGACGTTAGAAGTATTTCTTTTGCCATACGGAAAGCTTTTTGTCATGGCAAATATGCACGTAACATGCTTAAACGTCCGAGTCACTCAATTTCTGCATGTGCATGAAATGCTAGCGACCATGCATGCATGTACTTGTTAATTTGCATAAATAACAAACAGAGTTAAGGTCCCCAGGGATTTAACTCAGTTTTAACTCGAACGGCTGAATATCAATTCATCGAAAGAGTTCTTCAATAATCAAGACAGGTTTTCGATCTAAAAGACTGAAACACGAGTCGATTGGAAAGTTTACAATTTCATATTTAGGCACTTTTAATCGTTCGTTCGTTTATCCCTTTATCTTTGACTTTTTGGCAAAAAGTAAAAATTGGAAAATCGACTGGGAATAAAGCCCGTCGCGGATATAACGTCACATGTCAAAACAATCAGCCACAAGATGTAAACCAATGAAAAAACATATAACCACAGTGAAACACGCTATTTGATTGGTCAATATACCCGTGCAAGATCTAGCCAGTGATATGCATGCTATGCAGGATCAGACAATCTTGGGAAATTTAAATGTCTTTTTAAAATGTCGGACATACACAAACGAGAGACAAGTTAACAAAAACATTATTATAATTGACCACATTCTTATAAGGGGCAAACCATAAAGCCTGCATGATTTCCATATGGTCGTAACGGTCGTAAAGATTGAGTCACGATCTTTCTCATCAGCCGAAATACAACATTTTAGAACTGAAAATAGGCGGAGTGATTATAACTAGAGAATATTTATGATTTATATGTGGTTTACATGCAGGTATAAATCATTATAAACTGGCCGTTGTGAAAGATCGCGTGACTTTTGTTTTCCTTTGCGAGAATTTTTTTGTGGCTCGCCCTCTCCCCTATCTAATGGTCTGCCCTAAAATGTATGTGAATTTCGTCTATTTCATGAAATAGTTGTATCAATTATGCTGGTATACTCTACACAGACTACAGTTTCTTTATTGAAAGTATATGTGTTGATCAAAGTACATACAGCTATTGTAAAGCTCTTCAAGACCGGTAGGTCTGGAGTCGAAGTTTGGTGACACTATACAATGATCACATGTACATTTTTGTAGTGTAAACTAGCTTTAAATTACAATTTTTAAATCACATCAAAATTAGGAAACAGTAAAACCCCGCATATAATAACCTAGATTTTCCAAGTTAGCCTAAACAGGTTCTTATGTAAATGGTGCTTATCAGGAAATTAGGCTAAACAAATTTTTAAATAGGTTCTTATTTTGTTAGAGAAAAGCAACTCATTTTTATGATTTATATAAATTATGCACAAATGATCTAAAAAAATGACAGTATATGCACTATAAAGCGTTTGCACATGACGTCACAGCCGCCATGTTGGTGTTCCAATTCAAAATAATTTTAATTAGACTCTTTTGTCTGGAAAACCAACATGGCCGCCATGGCTTTTGTTGAGTTGATCCCTGGGGAATGAGTGCAAACGCTCTACAGTGTGTCCCCCCAAAAAAGTACCCTCTATAGAAATAATCCTATTGTTATAAGGGTACTTTTTTGGGGACACACTGTACATCAACCCTATATAAGCACTTTCAAACTACACTGATTGTAACTTATGACTTAATTTTGATTCTATTTGATAGTATAAGAATCTGTTTTGAAATTCTTGCCTGAACAGGTTCTTATTTAATGGGGGTCTAAATAAAATATTTTAGCCTAAGAGGTTCTTCAATTCTAGGTTCTTATATGCGGGGTTTATTGCATACAAATAAACATCATTGAGAAACGTTTACGGTAATTATACAACAATCACGTTATATACTATCTCTCTTAAAGATAATAACTAATTATATAATTGATTAATGCCATTACACGAAGCAATTAATTATAAGACCTTAAGGTCAGAAGGGAAACCGGAGAACCCGGGGAAAAACCCTAGAATACATAAATTTTCATCAACCTGAGCAGCGATAAGGGGCCGAGCGGCGCTAACGACCTCTATACTTGTTATTTAAATCACGTAAAAAATACATACAATACGTACATTCCGGAAGAGATCAACATGCAATATTCAAAACATTGGCGGTGCTTGGGGGTGAAAAGCGAACACGGTCAAAAATAACTAGTTCTGGGTTTCGACTGCGCATCCAAACAAACGCATCGGGATAAAATTGCACTTGCTGAATCATAACATAATTTCCGAGACTGGAAGAGAACAGTATTGAACTTATCACAATTCAGTCTCATTTTATACAAACAAATTTAATTCTCTGTGCGAAACAAGAAACAAAAAGTAAGCGCACTTGAATAAAATATTTCGATAATCTGAAGCAAGACAACGGGAGCATTTTTTAATTTGCATAACCAACTCAATTTGTAGTTGTGTTGTCGTTATATTTGTACTGTATATCATGGATCGCTTTTTAAGCCATTTAAAACACTCGTAGTCCGTGCTTTATCAGATATAAAACACTCGAGCTGCGCTCTCGTGTTTTATATCTGCTAAAATACTCCTGCTTTAAATAGTACTTACAACATAACAAAACACAAATAGATAATTGTAGAATACTTCGTGGAATTTTATCCCGACTCAGAACCTTGGATACGCAATCGATATACGAACTGCATGCTTAAGCGGGCGCACACTCAACGATTTTAGTTAAGCGTAGGTGCATGTTAATTAACGAAGCCAGTGAAGAGAGCGAGAAAAACGAGCTAACAAATTATGCAATTGACTGGCCTTCGTTTTAAATGCATCCAAACCGTAAATAAGCAAACTAAATAAAAATCGCAGGGTATGCGCCCAGCTTAAATAAACTTTCAGTTACATTTGTCAGCCAATAGTCAATGAAAGCATGGTCTAGAAACTCCCCAAACTTCAAAGCGTCTATATAGTATATTTTCACGAACTCGTGGTTAGAGCTTGACAACTGGTCTCCGCAGCTCAGTTGGTTAGAGCACTGCACCGGAATCACAGGGCTGCAGGTTCGATTCCTGGCAGAGGGCCTATACTATAGTTGCATTTTTCACATTACTGCTCCTGGTTAGGTCTTAATAAATGTATAAAATTTACACTCGAAATTTTCAATCCTTTCAACAGCACTGCTGAATGCCATTGCATGATTATCTCGAAAATTCATCGTCTTCTCCGAGCATAACTTTATTAACTTTCCGACGAAGGCCCCTCGCTCGAAACGTCGAAATTCTCCTTGTATTTTTCAGGTAGTTGCATCCCTATCAATCCGTGAAGGAAAAGTAGAACAAAGACTTTGCAGAGTTTCGAGACCATACTTTGATTGAATATCGGTCAACCTCTCTGTCCTCCACAGAAGCTTTTAAAGGGGCGCGGGCGAAGAAAGAGGAGAAGACCCTGCGATTGTCTTCATATCACGTACCTTCCAACGCCATGGTGAAAAGTTGATTTCCTTCGAAAACCTCTGCGAAGGAAAGAGTGAACTCAGTTCACACCCAAACACCGCCAATGCATGTCGCCAGTTGATTTTTTCAGTTTGGACCATAAACATGAGAGTCATGTTGAACATGGAGTACAGTAATATCCTTTAAGAAAAAAAAAAGAATTGCTTAGTTAATTAGGTTAGTTGGTTGGTTGATGGTGTGTTTGTGTGTGTAAAGGGAGGTGCGCTAATAATCTTTCCTCGACTAACAGTAACAGACTTAACTCAGGGACAGCCCGCTGACCCATCCTTCATCTTAATAAACGACCATGTGAGAAATAAACTTACAACTGGTCCACCAGGCACAACTGGTCCACCAGGTACAACTGGTTCATCAGGTACCACTGGTTCACCAGGTACAACTGGTCCACCAGGTACAACTGGTCCACCAGGCACAACTGGTTCATCAGGTACCACTGGTACTTGATCGCGTCGTAGTCCATTGATCTATTACAGTAATGAATTGAACAACAATTAATTATGTTGGATTACATGAAAAAACGCATGCCCATGCACAGAGCTTAACAATTCGTGGGAGAATATTTCAAGTGTAGAAGTCTAGTGTATATACGTAGTATTCTACAATAAGCTGCCGTGGTCTGTGTCTGAACTTTAACTTGAAAATTATATCTCAAACGTTGTCCAGTGTAGGTCGTATTCTGCAATAAACTGTTGTGCTTTGTGTCTGAACTACGTGAAAAAGATATCTCAAACGTGGTGGTCCAGTGTAGGTAGTATTCTACAATAAGCTGCCGTGGTTTGTGTCTGAACTACCTGAAAAAGATATCTCAAACGTGGTGGTCCAGTGTAGGTAGTATATTCTACAATAAGCTGCGTGGTTTGTGTCTGAACTACCTGAAAAGATATCTCAAACGTGGTGGTCCAGTGTAGGTAGTATTCTACAATAAGCTGCCGTGGTTTGTGTCTGAACTACCTGAAAAAGATATCTCAAACGTGGTGGTCCAGTGTAGGTAGTATTATACAATAAGCTGCCGTGGTTTGTGTCTGAAGTCTGAACTACCTGAAAAGATGTCTCAAACGTAGTGGTCCAGTGCAGGTAGTATTCTACAATAATTCCGCAGTAGTTATATTGTCATCATTCTGTTATATTGTCCATTTATTGGAGCTACATTGCAGTTAGGGCCGGGGGCGACTACAACAAAACAAAACAAAACTTACGATCTGGCGAACCTCATTATGCGTATTCACAAGTTGCTGCAGCGCACCATTGTGTGTGCGCAAATTATCTGACTGCATTCTCTCAGTGTCTAGCTGCATATAACAGAATAAAAGAATGTATACAAATTAGTTTGTATAGCAATAAGTACATACTTGTTTTGCTTTCTGTGAGCAACCAAAGCTAAACTAACTTTATTTATGTGATGCAAAGATTGTTCATCAATCTTGTACTCAGAAAACGTCTGAACTTTATTTATAAATTAATTTGAACTAGATAACTCCATATACCAATTCGAAAACTACCTGTCTCTACATTGCATTTCAACAGAGACTGCTTATAATATTAAAGTGATGTGTAGGCAGGCAGAGATTACCTTCAGTTGGTTAAAATTAAATTCAGGTGAAAAAAAATATGATAACAACTATTTTGCGAATCGATAAATTAGTTCTATAGGCCGTTTGCTGCGTCCCGATATCGTTAACATTTATTTCCCCTGTCTTGGAACTGAAATATTCTTACGGGAACTAACACTTTCGAACACGCTGAGTTCGAATCCGAAAAGTTCCCGCTCCGTGGAGCTGCAGTTTTCTCACAAACTGCAATTTTATCTTCACTAATTTCACGACAACTTTTTTCATTGTTCAACGACACGGATCGATGACGACAAACGATTATGTCACCGGGGCCGCCGAGAGGGGGGCAGGGGGCAAATTGCCCCGGGTCCCGAGGTGCTGGGGGCCCTTGAAAAATTTTTGTTGGGCCCCAGTCTTTTTTGAGTGTTAAATATTTCCGCGCAAACGACAAGATATCTGTTTTCTTGGGCTAAGTACCGAAATTTGGCATAAAAAATGAGATAAAGTCGCTGGAAAGCAATAGCAGCGTACTCGTCCGGAAAATTTTTTTTACCCCTAAAATGGTACACTGACCGAAAATTTTTTGGCAACGGGGGGGGGGGGGGGGGGGGG